GGAGGTCGTAGGCTAGTGAAGGTGGTTCAGCTGGGGTTTTTTGTTTGTTTTCAAACATTTTTATTGATTTTTTTTATCTGTTTTTTAGAGCGAGAGGAAGGGAGAAGCTGAAAAAAAGGAAACATCGATGTGAGCGGAAGGAACATCGATGGGCTGCCTCCTGCACGCCCCCTACCGGGGATCGAGCCCGCAACCTGGGCGTGGGCCCTGACTGGGAATCACCGGCGACCTCTCCGTGCACCAAAGGACACCCAGCCTACTGAGCCACACGGGCCAGGGCTGCTTCAGCTGTTTTGTCCTTCGTTTTCAGGGACCATTGCCTTGAGCTGGAGAGTTCAATGGCTGACAGTAGGCTCTGGGCTCCGGACCTAGGTAGGTAACAGATCAAAACTAGGGATGCAAGGTCAAATGTGCTACTCCTGCCCCAGAGCCTCTTGGGAGGAAAAGGTCGAGAGATGTTAGCCCTGTTGGGGTTTTTTAATTATTAGTGGTTTGTGTGTGAGTGTTGTATGTGTTAATGGATGTCATGGATCATTTAGGAATTCACGGTAGAGGTCAAACAAGAGCTTTTAGTCTGATTTTATGAACAAGATTGGCAGATGGATGGGGAGTCCTGGTTGAACAACCAAGCATATTTAAACCCATAGTCACGGTTATTTTTACCATAAAGTATTAAGTTTATCTTAAACACCCCCCCACCCCCACTCAGTTATCTAACTATTTTAGCACCTAGTCACTTCCCTCCTACTCTCCTCCCCTCTCTTTTAGTATCATCTAGTTTTAGTGCTGGAATGTGACAGATATGCTGTTGGGTTTCTGCCTTTTAAACACTAATACACCACACAGAGGCTCGACTTACAGGACTCTCTCTTATCTCCAGCTTCTCACTTTGTTCTTCTTTGTTGTTGTTTCCTAGGGGCTCAGCTGGGAGTTTCCGGTTGTCTGAAAAAATGCCAGAAGAGCTCCCCAGATGCTAGGAGGCAGCAGCCCTTTTCTGGAAGGTCCTTTTACTTGGATCTGCCTGCTGGCAAGACTCTCCAGTTTTTGACGGAGGCAATCCAGCAGCTGGGTGGGGTATGTAAAGTGCTTCTCGCCTGTGATCCCCGGGTTGTAGGGCAGGAGCTGGAGAAGGATTATACCTGTCTTCCAGGTGTTTTCAGTGGTATTGCTACATTTTTCCAAAGCAATTTTCAGTATAAGCCACTTTTAAAAATAAAGTTAATTTTTTTCCCCTAATTAGAAGAAAAACAATATCTGCTCATTCTAAAAATGTTAGAGAACATGGAACTGCTGCAAGTGACAACCATCATTTTGATGTATTTGTTTTTTCCTGGAGTCTTTTTCTCTTTCTTTCATTTTCTTTCACAGCTTTATTGAGATACAGTTCACCCATTTGAAGTGAATAATTCAGTGGGGGTTTTTTGTATAGTCACAGAGATGGCCAAGTGTGATTAGACAGTCAATTTTAGAATATTTTCATCACCCTAAAAAAGAAACTAAGGCCCATGTCAGTCTCCCCATTTCCTCTCGATACCCCCAACCCTGGGCAACCTTTTATCTACTTCTGTAGTCTATCCTTTTTTTAAAAAAAAAAAAAAAAAGCTTATTTTCTGTGTAGCTGTGATCATAAATATATTTTTATTACCAACTTTTGCCCATAACCTTAAAACATTAGCACTTCCCTATCATTATTGTCCCTCATATGCATTATTTGTAATGAGAATATAATATTCTTTTGAGTAGATTGTTAATTTACTTAACTTACCCTATGGCCATTCAGATTATTTCTAAATCTGAGCTCTTACAAATAACACTGTGGTGAACAACTCTGGG